AGTGGTGTTGTCTGGTGTTGTTGTTTGTGTGGTGGTGTTGTCTGGTGTTGTTTGTGGTGGTGTTTGTGTGGTGTTGTTTGTGTGGTGGTGTTGTCTGGTGTTGTTTGTGTGGTGGTGTTGTCTGGTGTTGTTTGTGTGGTGGTGTTGACTGGTGTTGTTTGTGTAGTGGTGTTGTCTGGTGTTGTTTGTGTGGTGGTGTTGACTGGTGTTGTTTGTGTGGTGGTGTTGTCTGGTGTTGTTTGTGTGGTGGTGTTGTCTGGTGTTGTTTGTGTGGTGGTGTTGTCTGGTGTTGTTTGTGTAGTGGTGTTGTCTGGTGTTGTTTGTGTGGTGTGTTGTCTGGTGTTGTTTGTTTAGTGGTGTTGTCTGGTGTTGTTTGTGTAGTGGTGTTGTCTGGTGTTGTTTGTGTAGTGGTGTTGTCTGGTGTTGTTTGTGTAGTGGTGTTGTCTGGTGTTGTTTGTGTGGTGGTGTCTGGTGTTGTTTGTGTGGTGGTGTTTGTGTGGTGTTGTTTGTGTGGTGGTGTTGTCTGGTGTTGTTTGTGTAGTGGTGTTGTCTGGTGTTGTTGTTTGTGTAGTGGTGTTGTCTAGTGTTGTTTGTGTGGTGGTGGTGTTGTCTGGTGTTGTTTGTGTGGTGGTGGTGTTGTCTGGTGTTGTTTGTGTGGTGGTGTTGTCTGGTGTTGTTTGTGTGGTGGTGTTGTTTGTGTGGTGGTGTTGTCTGGTGTTGTTTGTGTGGTGTTGGTGTTTGTGTGGTGTTGTTTGTGTGGTGGTGTTGTCTGGTGTTGTTTGTGTGGTGGTGTTGTCTGGTGTTGTTTGTGTGGTGGTGTTGTCTGGTGTTGTTTGTGTGGTGGTGTTGTCGTGGTGTTGTTTGTGTGGTGGTGTTTGTGTGGTGTTGTTTGTGTGGTGGTGTTGTCTGGTGTTGTTTGTGTGGTGGTGTTGTCTGGTGTTGTTTGTGTGGTGGTGTTGACTGGTGTTGTTTGTGTGGTGGTGTTGTCTGGTGTTGTTTGTGTGGTGGTGTTTGTGTGGTGTTGTTTGTGTGGTGGTGTTGTCTGGTGTTGTTTGTGTGGTGGTGTTGTCTGGTGTTGTTTGTGTGGTGTTGTCTGGTGTTGTTTGTGTGGTGGTGTTGTCTGGTGTTGTTTGTGTGGTGGTGTTGTCTGGTGTTGTTTGTGTGGTGGTGTTGTCTGGTGTTGTTTGTGTGGTGGTGTTGTTGTTTGTGTGGTGGTGTTGTGGTGGTGGTGTTGTCTGGTGTTGTTTGTGTGGTGGTGTTGTCTGGTGTTGTTTGTGTGGTGGTGTTTGTGTGGTGTTGTTTGTGTGGTGGTGTTGTCTGGTGTTGTTTGTGTGGTGGTGTTGTCTGGTGTTGTTTGTGTGGTGGTGTTGACTGGTGTTGTTTGTGTGGTGGTGTTTGTGTGGGTGTTGTTTGTGTGGTGGTGTTTTGTGTGGTGTTGTTTGTGTGGTGGTGTTGTCTGGTGTTGTTTGTGTGGTGGTGTTGTCTGGTGTTGTTTGTGTGGTGGTGTTGTTTGTGTGGTGGTGTTGTCTGTATGGTGGTGTTGTGGTGGTGGGTGTTGTCTGGTGTTGTTTGTGTGGTGTTTGTGTGGTGTTGTCTGGTTATGTTTGTGTGGTGGTGTTTGTGTGGTGTTGTTTGTTTGGTGTGGTGTTGTTTGTGTGGTGGTGTTGTTTGTGTGGTGGTGTTGTCTGGTGGTGTTTGTGTGGTGGTGTTGTCTGGTGTTGTTTGTGTAGTGGTGTTGTTTGTGTAGTGGTGTTGTTTGTGTGGTGGTGTTGTTTGTGTGGTGGTGTTGTCTCGTGTTGTTTGTGTGGTGGTGTTGTCTCGTGTTGTTTGTGTGGTGGTGTTGTCTCGTGTTGTTTGTGTGGTGGTGGTGTGGTGTGGTGGTGGTGTTGTTTGTGTGGTGGTGTTGTTTGTGTGGTGGTGTTGTTTGTGTGGTGGTGGTGTTTGTGTGGTGGTGTTGTCTGGTGTTGTTTGTGTGGTGGTGTTGTCTCGTGTTGTTTGTGTGGTGGTGTTGTCTGGTGTTGTTTGTGTGGTGGTGTTGTTTGTGTGGTGGTGTTGTCTGGTGTTTTTTGTGTGGTGGTGTTGTTTGTGTGGTGGTGTTGTTTGTGTGGTGGTGTTGCCCTATTTTTGTGTCTTACTTCAGTTAATTAAGTCAGATGTAATTAAGATTAAGAGGGTAAATTACTACTATTAAATTCCTTTAGTTAAATGAGTCTAAGTTGTAAATTAACGACAGCTGATAATTAAGTTTGATCATTCTCTCTCTCTCTCTCTCTCTCTCTCTCTCTCTCTCTCTCACTTATTTCTTTCTTCTTTTTCTCCCTTTATTCTCTTCTCTTTCTCCCTTTGCCTCCCTTCCTATTCCTCCCACTCTTCCCTCTCCCCCACCCACTTTAGTCTAGAGACCATCCCTACCTTCTCTTCCTCTCCTTTCCACTCCACCCCTCTCTCTCTCTCTGCATCTCCCTATTTCCTGCCCACTCTTACCACCTTCATCCCCACTCCCCTCGCCTCCCCCTCATCTTTTATCCCACTCCTATCTTATACCTTTTGATTTCTACCCCTTCCCCTCTCCACCACCCCTCTCCCTCTCTTCCCTTTCGTTTCCCCCTTCTCACTTTTCTCCATGCTACTTTCCCTTCACCAGGTCTCCCTCTCTCTCCCCTCTTAAGCCACCACCACCACATGAAGCCAGTGTAACGTGTGTGTGTGTGTGTGTGTGTGTGTGTGTGTGTGTGTGTGTGTGTGTGTGTGTGTGTGTGTTAACGTAGCTACTTATTGCTTGTCATAATATCCATGTGTCCAAGGTTCGTGCTCAAGGCCGGCTGGGATCGAACTGTCATGTCACGAATGTCATGACAGAGAGCGCGTGTCATTATAACGTCAGTGTTGTACTAATACGCTTTCAACTGTCTCTGAAATGCTCTCTGAATGGTCGGTTTATATGTTGAGCTCTCTGATTGGCCAATATTGAGTCAAGTTTTCTAATTGGCCAAAAGTAAGTCAGGCTCTATAATTGGTTAATAGTAAGTCAAGCTCCCTGATTGGCCGGTTTTAAGTCAAGCTTTCTGAGTGGCTGGTTAGAAGTCAAGCATTTCTGAGTGGCTGGTTAGAAGTCAAGCATTTCTGAGTGGCTGGTTAGAAGTCAGGCTCTCTGAGTGGCTGGTTATAAGTCTAGCTCTCTGATTGGCCTAAATCTAATTTTGTCTAATTTAAAATCATTGTTACGAGTTCGCTCCTGGTTGGATAGTTTGAGTACCTTTGTAATGTCACCTTTGTTTAGCCCTGCCTTCCACTTATACACCTCTATCAGGTCGCCCCTCGCTCTACGTCTCTCGAGGGAGTGCAAATTAAGATGCTTTAACCTGTCTCTGTACTCAAGGTTCCTAATGCCCGGGATTAATCTTGTCATCCTTCTCTGAATTCTGTCAAGGGATTCTATATCCATTCTGTAATACGGTGATCAGAACTGAACAGCGTAATCCAAGTAAGGTCTCACAAGTGCAAGATATAGTTTTAGGATGACCTCGCTAGTCTTATAACTAAAACTCCTCTGTATGAACCCAAGTACTTTATTAGCCTTGTTTCGAACAAATACACATTGTTGTCTTAGTTTAAGATTCCTACTTATCATTACTCCTAAATCTTTCTCACAGTCGGATTTCTCTATAACAACGTTGTTCATCTGGTATCTAGTTTCCCTGTTTACATCTCCTAGACTAAGTACTTTACATTTGTCCATATTGAATTTCATCTGCCATTTTTCAGACCATTCGAAATTTCTTTTTAGATCTCCCTGTAGTTTTGCCGAGTCCTCGTCAGATTTAATTACACGTCCTATTTTAGTGTCGTCACCAAATTTACTTAAGTTGCTGTCTACGCCGATATCTATGTCGTTTATGTATACGATAAATAATAATGGTCCAAGTACCGAGCATTGGGGTACTCCACTAGTGACGTTACCCCCAATGGGAGTGCTGCTAATGCTTACTCGCTGTTTCCTGTCCTGTAACCATTTTAGAATGACTCCTCCAATTCCATGAGCCTCCACTTTTCTTATTAGTCTTTCATGGGGGACTCTGTCGAAGGCTTTGCTAAAGTCGAAGTTAACGACATCATAATCGTGTCCGTCATCCACTGATTCGAAAACTGATGAAAAGAATGTTAATAGATTAGTCAGACAAGAACGTCCACTTGTGAAGCCATGTTGGGAATCATTGATCAACTTGTGCTTCTCCAGGTAATTTCGAATAGAGTTTGAAATGATTGCTTCCAGTAATTTGCCTACTATTGATGTTAGACTGATTGGGCGGTAGTTAGAGGATAGTGATCTATCCCCCTTCTTGAAAATCGGTATTACATTCGCTATCCTCCAGGATTCTGGTACTACACCTGTTTTTAATGACATGTTAAACAACTTTGCTAAGGGCATACTAAGCTCTTCCTTCCATTCCTTTAATACTCTGGCAAATATCTCATCGGGACCAGGTGACTTATTAGGCTTCAGTTCGTCTATTTGCTTACTAACATCATTACTAGTCACTACTATCTCGCTTAATTTATTTTCTTCACTATCTCTGTATAGAGTCGGTGCCTCGGGTATCATGTTTAAATTCTCGGTGATGAAAACTGTTGAAAAATATTTATTCCGATTATTGCTTATTTCTCCGTCGTTATCAGTTAGCTCGCCGGTATCTTACTGTATTGGTCCAATCTTGTCTCGTGTTTTAGTTTGATACATTTGATAGAATCCCTTGGGGTTTGTCCTCGCCTCCCTTGTTACCTTCAGTTCATTATTCCTCTTTGCTTTTCTTATCACGGTCTTAACCCTCCCGGCCAATACCTTATAATGATCTCGGAGCCTATCGTGTGAGGTGAGAGGTGGAGGAGAGGTCAGTGAGAGGTGGAGGAGAGGTCAGTGAGAGGCAAGGTGAGAGAGGTAAACGTGTTAGGATCGTGTTGCTGGAGTCAGGTGAAGCAGCATGGAAACCTGACTCCTGCAGCCAGCCGCCCACAGCCGCCACAACCACCAGCCGCCCACAGCCGCCAGCCAACCGCCAGCCGTCCACAACCGCCAGCCGCCCACAGCCGCCATTGCCACCCACAGCCGCCAGCCGCTCACAACTGCCAGGCTGCCCACAGCCGCCAGCCACCCACAGCCCAGCTGCCCACAGCCGCCATTACCGCCCACCCACAACCGCCAGTGCCGCCCACAGCCGCCAGCCGCCCACAGCCACCGCCGCCCACAGCCGCCACCGCCCACACAGCCGCCACTACCACCCACAGCCGCCACCGCCCACAGCCGCCACTCTTCACACACCAACAGCCGCCACTGCCCACAGCCGCCACTACCACCACAGCCGCCACCGCCCACAGCCGCCACTACCACCAAACAGCCGCCACTCGCCCACAGCCGCCACTTACCACCCACAACCGCCACCGCCCACAGCCACCACTACCACCAACAGCCGCCACCGCCCACAGCCGCCACGCCGACAGCCGCCACTACCACCCACAGCCGCCACTACCACCCACAGCCACCATCGCCCACGGCCACCACTACCGCCCACAGCCACCTCCGCTTATACCCAACCGCTACAGCCGTCACGGCCGCCAACCGCCGCCTCCTACACCAGGCACTGTCTGTAGCCAACCACAAACCACACTCGTACGCCCGCTCGTCCAGACAAACTACTTAATAAGGTCTCTCAATACTACCATCTAACACTCCAATAGTAATAATAATAATAATAATGCCAACAACAACAACAACATGGTTATAATAATGCTTGATATATTTCTTTCTGTTTTATCCTATCAAAGCAAAATCTACATGACACTTCACCCACACGCACCTTCACTCGCCGTCACGCACCTTCACCCACCCTCTAGGAATATTAAGTATTTGGTGTATTCGTGGCACTTCCTGGCACCCGTGATTACCGTCGACACGCACCTCTAGTGTCACCCTCTGGTACCTGTAACACGTATTATGTTTGGGTTTGGTGTGTCGATTTTAACTTACTTATCGCAGAAGATATTAACCGTAGCACCTCATGTTGTTCTCCTTGTTTTCATAATGACTTTCAGCTTTCCTAACCTAACCTAAGGCCTCCCTCTCTGGTTAACCACTACAGCTCTGGTCACTCTATATCCCCTTTATATCACTGAGGGGTTCGTATGGACACACACACACACACACACACACACACACACACACCATGAAGAAACGTAACCTAACTCCATTCCTTTAACTTAATCCACCAAACTCTAACCTAAACCTAACCTAAGGCCATGAGTTGTGTTTAAACATGGACCGTATAAACACATTAATACATCAGACAGACGAGAAACATTATCCTTTAACCAGAATAAACTCACTAAATGGGGTTGCTCTGTAAGGGTAATACACAGTAGCAGTCATGTTGGTCCACTAACTGATGCAGTATCTATTCTGACCCCATAATCTGTTGTCCTTCCGTCCACACACAAATCCCTGTCAATATTACATTACCACATTCTGAGAGAGTACTGTGTCATAATTCACATCAGCAGCAAAACGGGGTTTATTTGTGTGGTACTTATGCAAAGAAAGATCAATCACAGTGTAACTAAATCTAATATAGTTTGTAATCATATTGGTAGACCACTGAGCAAATCACCAGGCCAGAACACCAACTTAGCTGACTGTCAGTTCTATACTGACCCACACGTTCAGCCGTCATACATAGTTTTGTACCGGCATGCAACACACAATCATCACCTAACATCAGTCTGCAACACACAATCATCACCTAACATCAGTCTGCAACACACAATCATCACCTAACATCAGTCTGCAACACACAATCATCCCCTAACATCAGTCTGCAACACACAATTATCAACCTAACATCAGTCTGCAACACACACACTCATCAAACTGGTCTGCAACACACAATCATCAACCTAACATCAGTCTGCAAACACACCATCAAATCTAACATCAGTCTGCAACACACAATCATCCCTCAACAACATCAGTCTGCAACACACACTCCATCAACCTAACATCGTCTGCAACACACAATCATCACCTAACATCAGTCTGCAACACACAACCATCAACCTAACATCAGTCTGCAACACACACTCATCAACCTAACATCAGTCTGCAACACACAATCATCAACCTAACATCAGTCTGCAACACACAATCATCCCCAAACATCAGTCTGCAACACACACTCATCAACCTAACATCAGTCTGCAACACACAATCATCCCCTAACATCAGTCTGCAACACACACTCATCAACCTAACATCAGTCTGCAACACACAATCATCACCTAACATCAGTCTGCAACACACAATCATCCCCTAACATCAGTCTGCAACACACAATCATCCCCTATCATCAGTCTGCAACACACAATCATCAACCTAACATCAGTCTGCAACACACACTACATAAAGCATCGGGGACACACACACACACACACGAGTTGAAAGCTAATTTCGATGGACACGACATTTAATAAACCACAGTAACTAATACCGCTATTCTTTGCCGGTTATTTACTCTACTTGTTGCTTGTTGTAACATTTTAGGTTAGGTTAGTGTTAGTGTTTGGTTAGGTTAGGTTAATCTTCAAGTGATTCGTATAAGTGAAAAAATGGGAAAAAAGAATAATTCAGGGCACAGTACCGAAGGCGATCAGCTGCAGGACATTTTTTTTTGCCACTTACAGCGGCTAGTTTATTGTGCACCCCATACTCATCCTGTGAGCGGTAGCATAAAAGGATTACAGAGTTGAGTTTACAAAGGGCCTGTATAACTAACCCCCGTGGTCAGGATATTATGGCATTGAATGTTACAGAGTGTTTTAAATAAATTCTTTGTTTAGTTCTATACATAAAGGGTAACTTATTCACAACTGCGTGAGTACAGGCGTGTGTGGCCATATGTCTGGCCACACACTTTACATTTAGTTTTGTTTACATCTGCTTGAGGAACATACTGCCAGAGGTACTTATATCCTAACCTTAGTCTAGCGGTTACAACATCTTGTAATCTAGTGATCTTGTTACTTGCTCCATATACATGTTTCACTTGATACATCTCATCATGGTAAAGTATGGATCGACTAGTGCCTGTTTGCACTTGTCTTCTGGCGTCAAATCCATCAAAAAGTTCCTTCCTAATTACAGTTTGAAGGGTTCTTTTTGACAGATCCAGATGTAGTCAACGGTGTCTCTGTTAGACGCGAGTTTGGCGAGGGCATCAACTCTGTCATGTTCTGTGAGGCCTCTGTGAGAGGAGATCCACAACAGTTTGATCTTGACACCCCGGTCAACAAGGTAAGCATGCTTGTGTTTGGCTTCAGAGACAAGTGCTTGACAACTTGAGTCGAGGGTACCAAGGGCAAGTAGTGAGGATAGAGAGTCGGTGATGATGAGACTGTCAGTAACAGTGGTTTCAACATACTTAATGGCTGTGAGTATGGCAACTAATTCAGTTTGTAGAGTGGATGCCCAGTTGTTAATTCTGACTCCTTTTTCATTTGTGTTACCGTCAGGTTAAGTCACAACAATAGCACTTCCATCCCTCCCACAGGCGGTGTTAAGAGTAGTGTAGATGGTCTGTGTGATGTTATCATCAGTCTGTAGAGTGTGTATGTGTTCAAGAGCTCTCAATTTGGCAGTGTGTTGGAGATAAATGCTTTGTATAATTAATTTTTTAGGCGGATACGTCGGTATTGTGATATCGAAGGGAACTGTCCGCCAGGGTGGCAGGAAGCGCTGTTGTGTCTCAACTTTGTACAGGTGGTCTAGGCCAAACATCTTCATATGTGTAGCTGTAGTTTGGATCCATTTAGACTCAGTAGTCCCATGGTTCATACATTCTTGTAATTTTAAGGAAACAATGTTATCAGGATCACCACGCAGAAGCCTCAGGGCTATCATGAGGTTGACTTCAATTATTCTATCTTTAACACTGGGTATACCCAGTTCTTTCCTCATATTAAGTACTTTAGTGCTCATGGGACATCCTAGGATAATTCTGATGGCTTTATTTTGCATTTTCTCGAGCTTGTCAACGCCTTTCCCGCCACGAAGGACCAGGGCTGGTGCGTGGTAAATTACCAGCTGGAGCAAGAAGAGGAGGAGGAGGAGGAGGAGGGGAGGAAGAGTAGAAGAGGAGTAAGGGGAGGAAGAGGAGAAGGAAGACCTGGCCACGCGTCGCCCTAACCTCAGACGTTCCAGGCACACACGTTGACACTTGATCCTCGACAGAAGGGAGAGGATAGCGTGATGTCTTGAAGATTCACTTTCCATCTCGTGGTGTACAGAGAGAGAGAGAGAGAGAGAGAGAGAGAGAGAGAGAGAGAGAGAGAGAGAGAGAGAGAGATCAAATGTCATCTATCATACAGTATTAAACGTATAACATTAAGTGTATCTGCTCATAATCAAATCCACTCTCTCTCTCTCTCTCTCTCTCTCTCCAGTGTATAGATCTATCCCCTAACTCCACCTTAACACAGATCTTCAAAATCACTCGTACACAAACCTTTTTACCCACACCTCCTCCTCCTCCTCCTCGGTAGAAACACACGCTCAACATCCCGCTTACCTGGACACACCTTCCTCCCTCTGACTCGCCGATGTAATCAGCTTAAACTTCCTCATTACACACTCAAGTACCCACCCGTGTGCCCCGCTGCCCACCATACCACCTATTGGTACCCCCTCTCTTTGGTATCACCTCTACCCTGGTATCATGACAGGATCACCACGGGCAAGGAGGCGGCGCTAAGATCCGTGTGACCTGTCCCTGATATCAGACACGGAGGGAGGGGGGAGGGAAGAAGGAGAGGAAGAGGAGGGGGTGAAAAGAGAGGATTCCACAAGAAAAAGGTGTACTGCTAGACAACACCTGTAGTGCCAGACAACACCTGTAGTGCCAGACAACAGCTGTAGTGCCAGGTAAGGAGATCTCTGCCTCACTCCTACGACTTCTTAGATAATCTCCAAGATGTTATGCCTCACCCCCTCTCTCACTCCTACACTCACTCTCTCACTTCCACACTCACTCTCTCTCACTCTGTCCATCAAAACTAAATCTTTCTCACCTACGCTAGATTTAAGTGTGTGTGTGTGTGTGTGTGTGTGTGTGTGTGTGTGTGTGTGTGTGTGTGTGTGTGTGATCACCTATGCACGGCGCTATAGGGGTTATAGTAAGGTATAGTCTGTCTGTCTGTCTGTCTGTCTGTCTCGGCAGGTTTGATCAACTCATAGTAAGATCCACACTATAAACTTTTGGGAGAAACTGCACCAAACTATTCCAAGAGTTGTCATGGTAACATCGGGTTTTTCATGCACTAAAGAAAACGATGATATTAGACATTATTCACCGGTAACTATATTAATTTACTATATCAGCGTCACTGGTTCGATATTAACCCTCTCAGGATATTTATTTATAGGAAAGAGTGTGTTGTTATTGTTGGTAGAGTTGTTTTTACTGTTCTTGTTGTTGTTAATTGGTATTGCTGTTTCTTCTTCTTAGTAGTAATAGTAGTAGTAGTAGTAGTAGTAGTAGTAGCAAGACCTTGAACACATCCAACGAAGCCCGTGTGTATGAATGCTCGAGGATTCTGGACGCGGAGACAGCGAGCCTTCTTTAATATCAGGATATTCGACCCCCTGGCCGCATGT